AGCTGTTCAGATCTCTATATAGAACTCTTTGACTCCTATTTTGTTCTTGAAGGGAACTTTCTGCCTTATGAAGTTCACGACCCCACCGTTGCCTTTCCAAGGTTTTGTTAAGTTTTGCATTAAGCTCTATAATACCACACAGAAATGAAAAGCATCCACTGAGTCTTCTTTGAAGATCTGTTTCAGCTTTCCCTGAATACCTTATTTGTTTAGTTATCCTGTCAATGCTTCTGTCAAACATGGAATCCCTGTATGGCCTCAAGCCCTTTGGGGGCAAAGCTTTGTCTTGATGAAGGACCTGTTTACAGGATCTTGCCAATTTTTGCTCAGCTAGATTTATGCCTTTAAATAAAAAAAAAAATGGAAACAAAAAAAGTAACATTTGAGGAAAGTCACAGGAAACTCCATAGAGGAGGGTAAGAATGTCGTTAGTTCAGAGGGTCATAGAAATAATTTAGACGGTTTGCACAACAATAGTCAATTGTTGGTAAAATATCTGTAAAATCTATTACAGATATTTGGTAATGATAATCAAAATGAATAGATTTAAGTTATCAATGTATTGATATAATCACAATCATAGGACTGCCCAGGATCCCAAAAGTATCCTACTATATACATGTCATTTACAACTTAATATAGGCCATACTTTTCCAGGCATTTAAAGAGAAAACTCTAAAACTTTTTGCTCTGTTCAATGTCAAAATTACAATTACACTTTCTCCTTCCCACTTTTCCTTTCTTTTAAGAACTATGGTGTATTAAAGTCACCACAATTTATCAAAACTCATATGAGAATTTAAGCCATTATCATGAATGAATTTTAACCCAGATATGTTAAGATATTTTTAGTTTTTATTTCTATTTAAAACAGGGTACTGTGAGAGGATAAGGAAACATCACAAAACTATCACACACATATATAATATATGCATACACATTTACATAAGCAAAAGATAATTTGAAATTCCCACAGAATTTTTTCCATTTTTCTTTTTATTTAGTCTTATTGAGGTATAACTTTGCCCTGCAAGGTGCATAGATCTTAAATATACAGCACAATGATATTTTACTTAATTTATGTTTAATATTATATGTATAAAACTTCCTTTGCTGCTTTTCTTTTTATTGTATATTTTTAACTGAGGTAACATTGGTTTATGACACTGAATATGATTCAAGGTATAGATTCATAACACTTCAGATATGTTTCCAGAGCACACCCACCACTAAGGTACCCAGAGTCTTTTACCATATTCCAGTGGATCCCCATCTCTACTTTGCTCCCCACTCCCCAATCTTTGCTGTTTTTCAATGTTTTGTAATTTCCTATTAAATGGATATGTTTCAATTTATCAATATCTTCTACTGTTGATAGTAGGTTTATTTACACTTTTAGACTATTACAAATCTTGCACACAATCACGTAATTTACATATGTATTGAGAAGCAGCATTTCCAAGTCAGAGAGCATACTTGTGTTTAGTGTTTGAAAATACTGATGGGGCTGTTGGAGTTTGGAGTGCAGGGTCCTTGGGTTCACCCAGAGAAAGGTGTCATCAGAGCTCCCATTTCAGCAGCACACGGCAAGTTTACCAGGCGAGTTTCTCCACGAGACAGAGACATCGGTTATATTTAATGGGCAGGTTTATTAGAAAAAGGCTAGGACAGTAAAAGACACTTGCATAGACACAAGTGGACAGGAAGAGCTGCCCCAAAAGGAACAGGCTTGCTAAGAGAGGCCTGCGTGGTCACAGGTGGGCGGCATTGAGGAGAGCTGCCTCCACTGAGGGAGGTCAGTGAAGAGAAGCTCCTGCATGTACAGGTCACAGCCAGGCAGGAAGCTGCTGCCCTGCAGAGAGAGTTGGTGAAAAGAAGCACTTTCATAGTCACAGGTGGGCAGAAAGACTGCTGCCCCTTTGAGAGGGCTTCCTTAGGTTTTATCATCTTCAGGGAGGGGCTCATCTTTGTGGGTGAATGGTTTGTGCTCCTGACACTCCCTATAGCAGTCTGATAGTTTCTGGGTGTTGCATCTCCAGATCTGGGCGTTGATGCCTGAGGGTCTTGGTTTCTATAACTGGCTTACAGTAATCCCCTCTACCCTTACCTCCTTGTGTGAGTTAGATTCTTGACTTTGTATCTCCTTTCCTCCATCAGTACTAACAAATGTTTTTCAAAGGGGTTGTAACAATTTACACTCATTAGCTATCTATGAGGCTATCTGTGAGGCTCCGCATCCTTGCCACTTTTACTATTGTCAGTCCTTTAAACTTTAGTCATTCTGGTAAGGATATAGTCATTATTTGCCTTTTTTGATCATAAATTTTGCTGAGGATCTTTTCAAATCTCAATGTCCATGAGGATATTCTTTTTGTGTGTAAAACATGAGTGTTGGATAGCAATGTATGACAAAGGCCCAATGGGATGGTGGAAGACTATGATCATGGTCTTGATGGTGGGTGTGGTGTGGTAACATGCAATTGAAAAGGTGTGATCCTGTTACAGGCCAAGGAGAGGGGCAGCCCAGAACCCCCAAACCTGCCTGTTCTAAATAGGTTCTGCCATCCACTGCATCAACACAAAACATATAAGACCTTTAATAGAAAGGAACTTTAATAAAATTAGTGAACAATATAGAAAAGACAAAGAATATGGATTCTAAATCAAGCATCCAGTTACCTGTCCCCTGGTGGGTAAAAGTCCACCCAAACGGGATTGGCCCAGAGCGAGGCCCAAGAGCCTGCCACAAGTCTAAAGCATGGGTCCACTAGGGATCCATAGAAAAAAGTCACAAACAGCCAGACAAGTTTGGAAGGAAAAGACCAAAATCAAAATCAAGATAAAAGCTTCTATTGTTATCCTCCCCAAGGGTCTCTCACCAGCATGTTTCAACCAGTCCAGGACCAAAAGACAAGCACAGTTTCTTCACATCTCTGATCCCTGTACCTCTTGCAGGTCTCCTTCTAGCTCTCCATCCAGCTTCCTTCCTTCCTCTGTTTCTGCTCCAGCTTCTTCCCCTCCCTACTCAACTCCACCCTCTTTTGGGTGGGGTAGGGAACCTGGAACTTCTCCTTTTCCTGGACACCACCCAATTACAGTCCTATGCTTCTGAATCACATAGAATGTTGCAAAGTGATGTTACCTCATTTTAAAAAAAGGAGAAAGAAAAAATAATTAATAACTTTTTTTGTGTAAAATTTTGTCTTGGAATTATATGAAACACCAATAATAGTTAAGAACATTTGGTAGTCAGACACAATCCAATAAAAATATATAAATTATAATTCAAGCTACTTACAAATATGAATTGAATTTTCTTATTTCTTATAATTTCTTTCCATTATGAATAATAAAAAGCTGAATAAGCTTTTATGACATTTGCCTTTGTGTAGAATATCACGGTTTCAAAAATGCAAACTAAAACTGAAGTGTTATATGTTTTCAGTATAATATGTTGGTTTTTTTATACAGCATCGGACATTTAATAGTAGGTTATAAATTTATTCAACAACATTCATTACCATCATCTAAAGTCTCTAAATATTTATATTTAATACTCATAGTGTTATAGGACAGGGAGAGGGGCAGCCCAAACCCCGCAAACCTGCCTATTCTAAATGGGTTTGGCCATCCGCCGCATCAACAAAAAACATATGAGACTTTAATGAGAAGGAACTTTAATAAAACTAGGAAACAATACAGGAAAAGCAAATAATTTAGTTTCTAAATGAAACACCCAAAGTTACCCATCCCCTCGTGGGTAAAACTCCATCCAAATGGGATCGGCCCAGAACAAGGCCCCAAAGCCTGCCACAAGTCTAAAGCATCTTCCAGTGGGGACCCACAGAAAAGGGTCACAAACAACCAGACAAGCCCGGAAGGAAAAGAGCAAAATCAACATCAAGATAAAAGCTGCCATGGTCACCTCCCCATGGGTCTCACCCACATCTGTGTCACCCAGTCCACAACCAAAAGACAAGCGCAGTTTCTTCATGTGTCTCTAGGCTCCATGCGCCTCCTCCAGGTCTCCTGGCTCCATCCTGCTTCCTTCCTCAGTCTCTTCTGCAGCTTCTCCTCTTCCTGCTCAGCTCCACCCTCCCTTGGGTGGGGCAGGGAACCTGGAACTTCCCCCTTTCCTGGGGACTACCCTGTTACAATAGCATATTACACATGATTATGTGTTCAGTGAATGCTCAAGGATTCCTTTTTTATTATGCTGATGACAATTGTTTGCTAAGGGCAGATAATTGTTTTCCAGAATAATAATGCAGGATTGAGTGTATACAGGAAACCAGAGATGACAGGAAAGCATTGTGATTTGCTGAGGTTTCTACAATTAAGAAAATTTCCCCTCTGGGGCCTCCCTGGTGGCGCAAGGGGTTAAGCACTGCACTATGAAGCAATTCGTAGCCTCTGCAGCAGGAGCACCAACCTGCTAGGCAGCTAACCCACATGGTGCAGCAGACCTCTCCTGTCTGGCCCGCTGCTCCCTCAGCAGTGTATTTCAGTAGATCTGCCTGTTCTGCTCCCCACTCTGTCTCGGGTGAATCCTCTCACCACCCCTCCCCCAACCCCCGGCATCTCTGGCCTGTACCCCAGCATTTGTGTGCATAAATAGATCTTAAAAAAAAAAAAAAATTCCCCCTCTGAAGTGTGCACTAATTGCTACACAAAACGTACACAAGTTTGTTAATGCTATGTGCTTAATCAGCCCTCAAAGGCAAAATTTGGGTAAGAAAAGATTCCTGCTTTTATTCCGCACAGAGCAAGCTTTTGTCACTAGATTAAGGGAAACTAAATTTAGAAACAATTCCTAAACGCTGGTGTAGGTCAAGGATCTCCTGGGGCAATGTTTGGCGCAAACCAACAAACTGCAGGCGGAGAGTTGCAGCTCCCGTCAGTCAACCCGCCTGTGGGCGGGGCCACACCGAAAAACGCAACCCGCATGCGCGCAAGTGAGCTTGCGTCCCCAAGGAAGCGGGTGACCCTGAGAAGTTGCCGTCGCGCAGTGCGGCTAAAAAGACGTCGTGCGTGCGCATGCGCCCAGCGCAGAGACTGCCGGAAACCAAGATGGCGTATTGGTGTTCTCCAGGCCGCGGTTGGCGCCTTGTCTGTTGCTGAGCGGGTGTTTTGTAAGGGGCTGTGACTAACGCCCTGTCCGCCGCGATGGCGCGGCATCGGAATGTCCGAGGCTATAACTACGATGAAGGTAGGTGGCAGGGTCATGTCGGAACCTCATTTTCGCCGTTCCAAGCCGAGAACCCAGCTGGTTCATCAGTGAGTTCCTTGTCAGTGGTAACCGGCTGGAATTCGGAGGAAGTTTAGTTGGAGAAAATAAAATATCTGAGTACCAACAGTGGCATTGTTTTAAGTCATGTTTTCTGGCTTAGGGATTGCTCTGTACAGCATCGTATGGGAAGGCCACTTGCCTTAGGAATTGATCTTGGGGCGAGGGAGGTGCTGTGTAGCGTCATATGGGAAGGCCATTTGACGAGCTTGGGATGCGGTGATATTTGTGCACGTAAGCATTATCACCTCTTCCTCGCATTGTCTTATAGATCGGGAATAGGTTTTGCCTACTTTTAGCAACTCAACCCTCCTTTCAAAAATGCCCACAAAACGTTGTTCTTATGTAGTACACTAGTTGACAATGTTTCCAGTCAGCTGTGTCTACTGTGTTATATTTATTTGGTAAATCTCTTGTTTGTTCATATTTAGTGCAGAACCTGTGCTAAGTGATTAACTTACTGTCTGGCACTTTCAAGTTAAATAAGAAACTTAGTAGTAAATGGAAAAAGATATGAATAAATCAGTCAAATGAACTTGAGGTGTATACTAGGTTCTTAGTTAATAATGCTCCATAAAAAATTATTTTGGAATATAAGGAAAAACCATTACTGGAAGAAAGGAGGCTTTGAAAAGGATATAGACTTCAGACAATTTAAGAAATGTATATATTAATGATCTTTAGGAATTTAAAAGAAATTGGAACTGCTTAGGACAGGTACAACATCTCTTTCTAGTGGATAATTATAGACATCACCAGGCATCCCACAGACTAAAATTATAAACAAATATGAAGGAGTGTAGAAGAGGAATAGATTTAAAGACTTAAAAGTGCCAAGTATGTAGTAGTGTTTAATATGTTGGATAGTAATTATTGGTACTTCCAGAAATTATTATAGAACATCAGCATGCCATAACCATAGCGAAAGGCAGCAAACACAAACATTTGGAGACTGTGATCCTTTCAACCTGGCACATGTTGTTTTCCTGGTGTTGACTTCACAATTGAAGCCATTCCAAGTATTGCAGAAGAGTAAGTATTGCACATGGATTACTATTACCTGTGAGATCACTTTATCTTGGGAGATATTTTTGCAACTACAGTATGATATAAAAGGCTCAAATAAGTCTAAATGCTACTTATTAATTTCTTTAGTAGATATTTATTACCTTCTTCCAACGTATTTTAAATAAGTTATTCTACATTAACTGAGTGCCGAGAGAATAGTTTTAAGTTTTAGGGACTAACATGTTTGGAATCTAAGTGGAAAGATATGCAATTATCAGAAGTACTCACAGAGTGCTGTGGGAATATGTCAGTGATAACATCCCATTCAGAATGGTTTGGGGGAGTTTAAGTAGGATTTCTATGTGGAAGAAGCTTCCTGGAGGAGAAGCGCTTGGCCTGAGAGAGTCAGTGCTAAATATCTTCTCACCTTGGTAACCTCAGTTCAGGTTGTTATGTTGTCATGTTTGTTGTTGTTTTGAACAATGGATGACATAATAACCACAGTGTTCTACAGTGTAGGAGATTCATCCCCTTGTAGCTTATAAAAGTTCTACTCATCTTACGGTTCTAGTTTATTTCTTGTCAACCCATTTAACTTCTTTGTACTCTCAGAATAATAGTTTAAAGTTTATTAAAGGTAGAGAGGGTCTGAAAACTGGAAAGAGTTTGTGCTCCAGAACCTTTTGGTTCCTTACTTTCACTTGGTTCTTCTTTATAACTTGGATAGTACTTTACATGATTGCCTCAGCCACTAACTTAAAAGAGCCAGGAAGGCAAAGTCCATACTATATATTTACTCCAGTGCTTTACATGCATTTAATACTCTAAAATTTTGTTGGGGAAAAGAACCACTTTACAAAAACCTTAGGAAAGGATTAGCATCATCTTTTTATATTGTGGTCTCTTTAGGATCAATATTGAAAACATGATTCCAGCTTCCCCGGTGGCCTAGTTGGTTAAGTCTAAGTACTGTCACCACTGTGGCGTGAGTTCCATCCCTGGCCTGGGAGCTAACCCAAATACAGTGCAGCAGACTTCACCTGTTTCTTCTGCTGGTCCTCCTGCTGCTCCTCTCAGCAGTGTATTTCAGTAGATCTGCCTGTTCTGCTCCCCACTGTGTCTCTGGCAAATACTCTCACCCCCTGCACCTCTGCAAAAATAAATAAGTAAAATCTTTACCAAAAAAAAAAAAAATGCATGATTCTTGTTTATAATATCAAAAAGCATTTTTTTGTTTGTGTAGCTGGCTAATTTATTTTCTAATAAATTATTACTGACTTAGGAACGTGATCTTCCAATTTATTGAATATTACACATATTTAGTGAATGAAACATCTAATTTTTCTTAGCCATGATCATTTGGGCTCAGCCTTTGAACGTGCTATTCCTGTTTTATGACTTCCCTCAGAAGCTGACTAACTGCCCTTGGCGATTGGTTTAACTATTTCTGGGGATCTTTTCCTAGCCACCCCACTTCTGTTTCTGTTGCTCATATGTATGTTCCCAAATTTCTCTGTTCCTAATATCAACACTTACCATGTGGTTTTGTAATTACCTGTTTTCCCTGGTAGATTTTAGGTTGGTAGAGATGGAGGAATGTGCTGTCACTTACTGTAGTATCTCCTAACAGTTCCTGGTATAGAGTTAGTATTTTTTGAATGAATGACTAAGTAAGTACATTTATGTAAATATATTTATGTTCCTTGTGGGTTTTTAATTTTAAATTATATGATTCATTAGTTTATAATAAAACAAATAGTTGTTGCCAAACATGTATCAGGTAGTTGACTAGACAAAGTTTTATTCTGAAGGAGCTTATAGTCTTATGGGGTGAAACAGGTATAGTAATCTCTGATAGGTTTACAGTAGACTAATTGATTAACACAAGAGTTAAGTTCCTATGGCATATTTCTGATCAGAAATTATCACCAAACTTCTACTAAAGACCCAAAATACATTTAATAATAAGCAATAATTTGTGTTATTTCATTCATTCATTCATTTTCCAACCTGTTTATTTTAGTTCGGGTTCTCAGTTGGCCAGAGCCTCTTCCAGCAGGTCAAGGCACAAGGAACCAGATCTGGACAGGAGGCCCTTCCATCACAGGGCTCATTCACACCCACACCCACTCTTACTGTGACAGTTGAGACACACCAGTTAACCTATTGTACATATCTTTGGGATGTGGGGGGAAACTGAAGTCCTTGGAGAAAATCCGCACGGACATTGGGAGAATATGCAAACTACGTATTCCAGACAGTGTCACTGATAAGGAATTGATATTTCTTTTTTCTCATCAGTGTTAAAATGAAATGATATTGAACACATTGATGCTATTTGAGGACCTGCTGTATAGTGATTAGAGTAGTGTGTTAAAGAGTAAAAGTGGCAGGGAGCTTGCTGCTTTTCCAGGAGTAGTAAGGGAGGACTTCCACAAATGGGTGACATTTGAATTGGGACCTTAATTAGAAAGAAGCGGCCTTAGAAAAACCGGGCAAAGAGCATATACTGGTCAGTAGGAAAAAAGGCCATTTAATTGAGCAGTGTGAGTACAAGGGAGTTTAGGATAAGCTGGCTTTTCTAGATTGCATAGTTAATTTACATGGAGAAAAACTGATTTGGCGCCCTGTGCTAACCACTTGTATTGAAATGTTGGTTATATATGTTACTTGGTTAAAATAAAATGATGCATGATTTATTTCAGATTTTTGTCAACACTGGAAAGAGAATTCAAGTATGTGGTATATGGGATTATTTTTTATTACAAGTGAAAACTTGGAAAAACTTCAAACTGAAGAACCAGTATCTTTATAAATATTGAAAATTAGCATATATCTGCTATTTTTGTAAATATCAAATCATATTGTACACCTGAAGCTGATAAAACGGTATATGTCAATAATGCCTCAATTAGAGAAAAAAAATTAAAATTCTTTTGAAAAGTAGACATTCTAAGTTCCTTTAATTGTAATGAACCATTTAGTTTATTTTTGGAAAAAATTCAGATGTTTCCTTGTTGCTAAGAATATAAAAAGAAATTGTAAATGAGGATCTGTTGTGTTTTTGTTTTAGATTTTGAAGATGATGATTTCTACGGTCAGTCTGTAGAGGATGATTATTGTATTTCGCCATCAACAGGTAAATATTAAAAATAATTTTTGATTTCAGTCACTTGGGTATTTAAAAATGTTAAGTATTATTGTTTTTCTGATGTGTAAAAATGAGGTTAGATAACATTTAAAAAGATAATTACATGTTAGCTTTTTAAAGATGTATGAAATATTATTATTTTTTTTAAATTTAGGCATGTTTTTATTTATTTATTTGTTTGTTTATACAAGCACTGGGGTACAGTCAGAAGCATGGGAGGGTGAGAGAATTCACCAGAGCCAGAGCGGGGAGCAGAGCAGGCAGAGGGACCGAAGTACACTGCTGAGGGGAGCAGCGGGCGGCAGGAGAGGTCTGCGCGCCATGTGGGACCCTCCTCAGGTGGCCGGGGAGCAGCCGGGGATCGAACCGGCGCTGCAGAGGCCGCGGGCAGCTTCGCAACCCAGCGCTCAACCGCTGCGCCACCGGGGAGGCCCTGAAATATTATTTTTATCCATGAAAAGAAGTTTTAATTCAGGGCCTCCCCTGGTGGCACAGCTGTTGAGCGCTGGGCTGCGAAGCTGCCCGCAGCTTCTGCAGCGGCAATTCGATCCCTGGCTGCCAGCGAGGGTCCCACATGGTGCACAGACCTCTCCTGCCGCCCGCTGCTCCCCTCAGCAGTGTACTTCGGTCCTTCTGCCTGTTCTGCTCCCCACTCTGGCTCTGGTGAATTCTCTCTCTCCCACACTTCTGATTGTACCCAGTGCTTATATAAATAAATAAATATATCTAAAAAAAAAATTTTAATTCAGTCATACAGCTTTAAACAATTTGAGGAAAACTCTGGTATTTTCAATATAAAAATGCAGTTAATTTGAATTGTATTAAAATGGTAATTGAATTAATGAAAATCTAAACCTTAGGAAGGCAAACAGCAGTTAATTTTATATCCTCAGGAATTTGAGTATTGGAAACATTAAGTTATTATCCATCACTTTCTGAGTCCAGTATAATAAATTCATAAAACTTTTTTCCGCATGTTTAAGTTTTATGTAATTAACATTTCTGTCAAAGTTTGCTGTATTTGTTATAGCCTATAGTCTACTGAACTGTCCTGCAAATTCATACTTGCTTTAAGTTCACTTTTAGTCTCCGAAGATCAAATTTTTCTCTTCTGATTTTTTAAAATTCCTTTTCCTTTATCAAGGCACATTTGCTCTTGAGGTTGACTTAGCACTTCCACTCTTCCTCTCATCTTTTTCCTCTTGTTACACTGAAATGCATCTATTTCTTTATTTATATTTTCCTCATTTAGCCTTACTAATCATGGCCTTTCCTCTGTTCTTTTAACCTTACACTGTTGCCAGTCAGGATTCTTTAAGGAAATAAGAAATTGTACTAGAAATTTTGCTAGAGACAATTTAATTTGAAAAGTTGCTAGCTACATGTTAGAAAACAAAAACATGCAGAAAGGTTAACCAAAGTAACAAGGAGGTAGTAACTTCAGGAAGCATTAATGTGCCCGGAAGGGGAACAGATGGACAAGGTTGAATGCATCCTTTAGAAGCTGTAGAGGGACTCCTTGACTCTGGGGCTTAGTTCTATGAGAAGAGAGTTCTGCTTTGCTGTTTTTGCTTTGAAGTTTTGAGGAGGGACTGTGGAGCTGGGACTCAGACCTCTGAAGAGCGGGACACTGCATAGCTGGCATTGGTATCTGGAGTAACCCTGTGAAGCTGAATTTAACCTTTTGAGGAGGGAATTTTGATCAGCTGACTGCTCATAGTGTCAGGGAGATGTGGATGGTGGGCATGTAAAGCAGATATTGGGACTTTTGGAAAAACTGAAAAATATTATTGCTATTAGTGGGACAAGCTGCTTCTGCAAGGTGAAGTGTTGTTGGAGTGACACTCACTGGGCAGGAAGCAAAAAGGCAAGAAGCATGTGCCTTGTACCCCTAGCCTTCGAGTGTTCCTTTTACATCTCCCTGTTGGCTGATCCTGAAAGGGAACCAGCTGTCAGAGATATCATGTGTTTTTTGTGGATAGACTTAAACCTTAGTGCATCACAAAGCAGAAAAGAAAGGAGTGTTAGAAACTGAAAGATGTGTTAATCAGCCTTCCTTTAAAACTCCTTATTTAGGGATTCAGAAGATCACATGGATTATATTTTGTAGGGATTATAGGTAAAAGAAACTTCACTTTTTCTAAGGGAAGTCCTAGCACTTGTTGCGATTTGCAGTACGTTACAAAACCTATGGGTTAATCCCTTTGAACTTCTGTAATTTATCCTCATAGTTGATTGGGTGATGAAGTGATATCTGCTAGCACCAACTTTGTCACTTATTCTAAGCACAGTAAAGAGGGTGGCATGTTCATGAAACAGGAGATGGAGGAGTGATAATTAGATTTGAGTTTTTGAAAAATTTCTTCTACACAGTACACCCTGGGCTAAAGGTGGTACATGGGTGGATATAGGTAGATTGGCTAGGAAACTATTATTCTAATCTAGAAATGAGGCTATCTGAGGACATAACTTGAGAATTTGTCACAAAAGTCATTCTGGTTCCTAGTTTGGAGTCAGAAACTAGGCTGGGACATAGCTACCGCTCTTTTAACAATCTTTCCAGAGTATGCTGATACTTGCTTGGAGAACCATTGATTTAACAAATGTGTAGGAGTATTAGATTTGGAAATAGATTCAAGAGACAATTACAGGAATTGAGGTCTGTAGGACATGAAAGTTGGTTGAGTATGGTTTGCACCTGAGTGGAACACTTTAAGAAAGAGGGACTATACTGAAGGGCATCAAATTGTGGATTAAGACATCCATTTATCTAAGCTTATCTGGGTAAATCATGCTTAATCTTGAGTAATGAACCTGTAATGCATAGTGTCTAGGTGTTTTTCTGAGATTTGCATTTATGGCCTAGCTCTCTTGAGGTCAGAGTTTATCCTTGTGTCTCTCATAGCTCTTGATGTATGTTTTTGTGTGGTTCATATTCAGGACATTCCAACTCTTTGAGATTTACTTTTGTACATACCAAGAATCGACTAACATTACCAAAGCAGGAGATAGATGAATGGTTTTGAGTTTCTTTGACAAACTAGTATTTTTTAACAAAGCCTGTGCTTTTGGATTTTTAAATTTTTCAAAATGCATATAAAGTAGGAGTAATATCAGATCTGAAACTTACGTTTTCTCTTTAGTAGTATATTTTCCCAGCAGTGTCAATACAAAATGAAGTTTTAGAAGGACAATTTCTGTTCTTAAAGAAGCAGCTAATGTAATTGAAGAGAAGATAATATTTATGGACTAATGAATTCTGGTATTTGGGTGACAGTTTTAGTGAATAGGAACTTTTTTCTTAACTTCATCAACACATGCATTTCTTTGAACTCTGCTAAGCACATTTTTCTGATGGAAAGATGGCTTCTAAATGTTACAGCTCTTTTTTTTTTTCCTTTAGAAAGATTGGCTTTGATGCTACATACTGAACATATATCTAGGAGATGGGTATGCCTATTTATAAAACTCTGAGTATTTATGAATCTTGTTTCAACTAATGTAATTAAAAGTGTTAAAAGATAAACTGAGGCATATTAAAAATCTTAAATTTGCTTGAGCAAACATTGATTTTTATCAGGCAGGTCCAGCCAAACTGGAAGTAGTTAGGAGCATTCCACCCACAGGCGCTCTAGGGGTAAGGTTTTTGGAGAGAAGACATGGAGGCAAAGAAGGAAATTATTTGATTGGCTATAGCTTAAGCAGTTACAGTTTATGGGAAAGCATAGTTGACTTTTTTGTGACTAGTTGTTCTTAATTCTGAGATATTTACAGCAATTGATGCAGGCTTAGTTTCCCCTTTGCTATCAAGACTTTAGAGCCTTCTCTGTCTAATGGATACCTTGCTTGATTACCTTCACAGTAGTTATCCTCATTCAGTCTATCCAACTCCAAACTGTTATTGAGCATCAATTAATATGTGTGGGAAAAGCCCCCTACTAATAAGTTTGTAAGTTAGTTTGGTATAAGCAGCTTGTTAAAAGTCATGTTCAACTTTTTTGGGTTTAAGTTGCTATCCTCCAGTAAATTGCCAAAATGACCAAAACAGAAGGAAAGAAGAGAGGCAAACACTATGGGTATACTAGGCCTTTTAGAATACATGGAGTTGTTCCTTTGGCTACAGACATATGAGTCTACAAGAAAGGTGATATGACAATCAGGATGGGCACTTTTTGAAAAGAATGCCCCACAAATTTTACCATGGTAAAACTGGAAGAATCTATAATGTTACTAGTTTGCAGTTGACAGTGTTAATTCTCTTGCCAAGAGAATTAATGTTTGTATTGAGCATATTAAGCATTCTAAGAGCCAAGATCCCTTCCTGGTCTATAAAAAGGTAAAAAATGAATTCCTGTTTGAACAACATGCTACAACAGTATGGTGGCCGTCAAGAAATAGTTGTGACGGGAGGAGTCTGTGGCTCTTCTGGAAGGAGGTGGATTTAGGACTCACAAGTTTAGGAATAAGATCACATCTTACTAGAAACAACAGTAATTAAACAAGTGTCTGGGGAGACTTTTTTGGAAAGACATAACCTGTAGTGGCAGCAGGAAAGAGGGCTGGTACAGGAAATGCGAGCCAAATTGTGGAAGGCAGCTTTAATTATCGATGTGTGTATCAGCTTATTGAACATTTTTGAGTAAGGGTTCACTGTTTTAGGACAGTAAGGGGTGATGGTACAGGTGCAACAAATAAAAAGAGAGACTTGTAGGTCAATGTTTTCTGACCTTTTCTGGATGATACCTATCAGCTGGGAGTAATTTTAAAAATACAGATTCCCTGCCCCATTCCAGCACCACTGGATGAGAATCTCCAGAGAAGAAAGCCTAATAATGAGTACCTCCGAATTTTTTATTTTGAGTCTTTTAGGAAATAGTTTTAGGCAGTTTCTGGAGTCAGTTTCTGAATTCTTTAAACTTTTCTTTGCTAAAAAGCCTTAAATTTTAAAAAGTTACATAAGGTATCCTCAGAAAACATTTCCATCAAACTTTGTGATTCAGATTTTTAGAAGAGAAAAGCATTTTATATTTATTCTCTTCTCTCCATTAGTTTTTTTTCTCTCTTTCAATTGTATTTGTTGCCTTTTGAGCTCCATTCTAGAGATTTGGACCCATTTCCACACACCCACCTTCTCCCCGGCTTTTTCTGGTGAATTTTCCTACTCTCCTTCCCTCTAGCCTTCCTGGCAAATCTGGCAATAGTGTAGGTTTCTGAGTTGGATTTAGATTTTGTGTGTGGAGGCTTTGTAGATAGGAGCTAAGCATAGTGAGGAAAGGATAGGAAGCCACCACCTGTCCTCCTACCCCCTCCCCCGCCCCCCACTAAAAGAAAGTATATCCCAAGGAAGTAGAGTAGAAGAGTCTGGACTTGAAGAACTCTTTCCCCTTTCAGTATTTCCTAAGTGAAAATTGTTGAGGGAAGTATCTGATTTCTTGCCTCACTTAATTTTTGATATATCGGGTTTTCCTGTCACAGTTCAGAGCTGTGAGAAGAAGTTGGAAAAGCATTATTTGTTACTTTTAGATTAATCTGGTATAGTTTATCACAGCCAGGAAAGTAATTTGTAAATCACTAGATGCAAAGCCCAGTTTACATTTTTTGGTACTGCCACCCAAATCTAAGAAGATAACATAGAATGTATGACATTATTTTAAAAAGGATGTTATTTTAAGTATTACATAATGCTCAGGAAACACACAGCTGAGATTTTTAGGTGGAAAAAAAGCAGTTGTTTTAGAGAATTGATGAAATAGAATTTTTCTTTTGCTCTTTAGCCATGCTAACTTAATACTAGTAGGGTTCTATTCTCCTTGCACCAAGGAGGGAAAATAGGAATATATGTTCATACATGCACAAAAACCTTGTGGTCTTCAAAACTGTTTACTAAAGTAACAGCTGGGAAAAAATAGGATCATGATGGGTCTCTCAACATGTAGAGTACTAAAAACAGTAATCATCTTAATAAAAATGTTTGCACATGAAAGGATACATTGACCTCCTAATAAAGAAATATTGTATACATAGATCTTTACATGTTTAGAAAAGGTAAAAGCTTAAGGAACTTAGAGAGACAAGAAATAAGCCCTCCCAACACAGGACACATGACCAGATTGAACCAAGAGGAAGAATGTGGGTCTGTCTGGGATTATGATGTAGTTAAAATTACATTATCATATTGTGTGATTGGTGTTATTGGACTGTGTACCTGCTACTATTATATAATGATGTAAAAATGTTGAAGTGTTGGGGAGAAATATCCCATAAACCAAAGCAATTTGAGTGTTGTGCACTCTTAACTTATCAATTCTTATGTGCTAATTTAAGTTAAGGAAACTTGCATTGTAGCAAAATAGACTGAATTCTCTCAACTACTATTTCTCTAGCTTCTATTTACCTTTTCCAAAGGGTATTCAACTTCTTCAGTTTTTCCTGTGTTCTTACTTTATTATAGCTTTTAATTCTCGGTGATTATATAGTCTCTGTGCTTTGGCAGCATTTATCTTTGTTACCCATTTGGATTTTAACATATCAATATGTCGCTACATTTTTCTTTGTCTTCTTTGCTAATCTCTAGGGCCATCATTTGTTGGCACACAAATACATAGCACTTGTATGTTAAATGTATGTCATAGCATTACTATCTCTGTTACCTATATTGAATATATTTGGTTTCCATTCTCATACAGTGCCTTCCTGAAAGCATGTATAAAAGTCAAATGTGGAAATGTTAAGCAATAATCTTAAACATTACATTCTCTTCCAAAAAGCTAAATAACACAAAATCCGTCATAACACTTTAATAAGAGATTTGAAATATTCTAAAGAAGAGAAAAATTAAGGGAAAATGGATTAATAGGCAGTAATGAGATAGTATGAAATGTGGAAAACTGGGGAAACCAGGCTTGGTGGAAAATTCTGGAGATAATGAATAGTAAGGATATTAGATGAGAATTTTGGGTCTGATAATGTTAGTTTGTGTTAGTTTGCTTTTGCTTTTATGATTAAAGAAGGTGGGTAAATGACTGTAGATTAGAATCTTGAATTTTTACTTTTAACTTGGGTAAATGGAACATGACTGTACTGCTGTATTCTTCATTTTGTATTCTAGCTGCTCAGTTTATTTACTCACGACGTGATGAACCTTCAGAAGAGTATGATTATGAAGATCTGAAGGCCTCTAATTCTGTCTTGAGCCATCAGCTAAGTGGAATTGATCAAGGTATAGTAAAAAGTAATCTGTGCTTCTTAGCTGAAAATGATTTGTAATATCAATAATTGATTGAATTTATCAGTTTTTACTTGACTGTTTATGATAGTGATTATGGGTAGTAATGGTACAGATGTATTTTTTATCTTCAGGGAAAATTTATATTTTATCAATATATTTTATGAGGGTTGTATTTAACTGTATTGTTGAAAAATTGTAACTTATTTAATAACAGAAATTTTTTATTGAACTGTCTTATTTTCCTCAGGAGAGAAATTTGAGTGATTTATTTTCTCTTAGCAATATTTATTGATTAATTAGTACTATTAAAGAAACTCCTTTTTGTACAAAATGTTTGGTTCCAAAGCTTAATTTTTATGTCCATAGTTAGCACTATGCAAGCATCCTAACTGGTTCAAGATAGAATTTGTAAACGGTAAGACATTGATTCTACAGTTGCTTCTTTTTGATTAAACACGGTTATTTGTATGTTGGCTTCTTTCATAAGTAAATTTCAACATGACATTGTTTTAACATATCCCTTAAGCCATAGATTGATGAACAGAGTAGTAGAACTAAAATGGCCATATACTGTATAGCTGTAATATTGGTGATTAGCAGTGGCTTTCTTCTATAAATATTTTAAAAATTTATAACAGTTGATTGGAAAACAGAAAGAGGGAATGTATGACTCTGAGAACTGACCTTCAAATTGTTAATAAAATATACATCAGCTCCCTACTATAATTAAAAATGGAGCAAAAGCACTGTACACAACATTAAAAAGCAGAATGGTAAGCAACAGGGAATTTAAAATTTTGAACTGCAAGTACATCTGACAGTTTGGAAGAAACCATGTAGAGGAGCTGCTTTACTCGGTAATATAACTTTAAGAAAGTAATATAGTTAGTTATCTTTGTAGTGTTCTCACACTACAGGGAAAGGGCAGAAATCTCGTGCTTTTTCTGTGAACAAGATTAAGGAGGTTTGAAATTCAAACTTAGGTTTGAGGATGAAAGTTAATCATTCCCACCTCACATGTGTAAGTAATTGTATGATAAGAACATTATGATTGTAGCTAAGCTTTTCTAAATGCTTTCAGGTACTATTCTAAGTGCTTTGCAACTATCAACATATTTAATCTTCATGAAAACCTAATGAGGTAGACCAATTATTGTTTTTGTCATAAATAAAATACCAATGTCATTTTACAGAGAAGGAAAATGGGACACAGAGAAGTAACTTAGTTGAGGGTTGTACCAGCTAATAGGTAGCATTAGGATACGGACAAAGACAACCTGACTCCATGTTTCTACTTTGTGTATGTGTAGAAAATCATTGTACTAATTCATTAGAAGAGGTCCTTATACTAGCTATGCTAAGTATTCAGTTCTAGTTTTAATAATTCAGGTATATATTAAATAGGTATTATTTTCCTAGTTTATTAGCCTAAACTTAATATTGATTTCAAGTAAAGCAAAATTATTCAAATATTTCAAAAATTTATTTTTAATAATTAACAAAGGGAACAATGGAAAAAATATCAAAGGCAGGATATTGTTTAACATGGAAGCATATAAATTGTATTTTGTGAAATGGTTTTAGGACTAGGGAGTCTGAAAACCTAGGTTCTGTTTTGATAGTTTCCAGTTTAGTAGTGCCATGATTTTCAAGCATTTTAGCTTAATGAATTAGAATTTGCCAGATAGATCTAGGTCATACTTATTATGAGGATTGCAAAAGAAGTGTATGTATGTATATGTAGATAGTTATCTATATGTATGTTTTGAAAATTGTGACTTGCTAAACAAATATGAATTAATGTATTCATCCATTCAATGGCTTCTAGATACCAGGTACTACAAACAAAACCTTTGCCTAAGTGGAGTATACATTATTTTGGAATATTATTGGTAATTACTGTTTATAATTTATGGATATAAGTGCTTTATTTCTTAAAATGAATGTTCAATTTTCTCTTAATCTACAGAATTACCTTATTTTTATTTCATTTTTATAAAGTTAGCTTAAAAGAAAACTTAAGACATGAAATTTCAGAGTTATATTTGGTGTATCACTGGGTTCACTAACAAGTTAGAAATAGTCCCACACCTACCCTTACCTTTCTATGCATGCAAAAAATCATCAGTTCAGTTATCATTATCATCATTGAAAATAGATACTAATGTGTACAACTTTTTTATTAACATTAGTCAGTATTACTTAGGAATCTCATTCATTATGGTGATTTCTTAAGTAATGAAGTTGTTCCTCTGACAGGGGAAGAATCATTATAAATAATTTTTGCCAAGGGAAAACAGAATTGAATTCATTGCTATAGTTTCAAATCCCATTATCAGTTTTGACTGTGGAGGTTTCTTTCATGGCACCATTTAGTAGTTTTAAATTCTTGTCGTCTATTCTAGCTCGTCTTTATTCATGCCTCGATCACATGAGAGAGGTACTTGGAGATGCTGTGCCAGATGACATATTGATTGAAGCAGTTCTGAAGAACAAGTTTGATGTGCAGAAGGCTTTATCAGTGGTTCTGGATCAAGATAAATTGCAGAATTTGAAGGTTAAGAGTGAGGGAACAGTATCTACAGGAAAGCTAGCAAAAGGTATGCTTTTACTTGTTTTCTTTTAGTTGTCTTATAGGTAATGCTTGAAAAGAGGCCTTGATTTGCTTGTGTTAAGAAAGTGGGCCAAAAATTTTGCATGTTATAATAATTGATTATTACCAATTAATCTTCTAGTTTGTGAATTTTTAAGTGGAATACTGTGTTCCCTTTCTTAAACTTCTGGATATAAATGCTGTATTTTGATATAAAAGACTGTATTTTGATTATTTCCCTGCTTGTTGTGTAGTAAAATCAGATTAAAACAAGACAGTTTTTGATTTTGTTACATAACTTAGAGCACTTTAAGTTACTGTGTTGTCACTCTATTGGGGCAGGATAAGGAAATTAATAGCCACACAACTGATGTCAAATCCTCCCTTTATGCTTAATACATAATATAAGTATGATTTAGTTTTATTTAAATATAGGTATCATAATTATACTATTTTTACATTTCATAGCCAGATCTTTAATTTTCATTTAGTAGAATTTGGGGTTCAATTGGGAATAGTCAATGTTTGAAAAGAAGTGAGTTGCCTTTGTATTAATTGGTATACTGTTCATCAGTAGGAACATAGTGATTTGTTGACTGGGTTGATACTTCTTGTGACCTGAGGACTAGATTTGTGCTATAACAAAGTTGTGTGCAGTCTGTACCATGAAATAAATGTTGTGTTTTTTTTTTTCTATTTAAAAATTTTTAAAAAATTGGGGCGGGGGACACATGCACTTTTATGTGAGAATGAATTAGTAATTTGTCATCTCTTTATAGTTTGTCCTAGATTATAGTAGAAATTATAGGGTATTGTTTGTTTGCCTGTTTTGAATATATTCAAAATACAAAATCACATGAACCAAGTTCTTTCTGTTGCTTTATTTAAGAAACTTTGACTTTGAAACAATCCTGACTATAATTATGTTAAAACCTCACATTATAAAATGGGTGAAAATAAAAATATGTGAAAATTGACTAATTTGATATTTAATTTGAGTACATCAACAAAGTATGATGGTCATTTTAGATGATTAAAGGAAGGTAAAGAACCTTATTGTTTTTCAGAATGTTCACTTTTTATTAAATAATGATCAAGTATCACATTCATGTCATAATCAAAAGAAACATTTAGTAATTAAATGCCTCATTTCATGTTTCCTTTTGGTTGCTGTGACTGTCTTCTGCATATGTCAACTTTCTCATCTGAAAATTAACGGCTCTTGTAAGGTAAGGAGTCTTAATATCTTCCTCTGAAGTTTCAGCTGATAATGTTCAAAACTCTTGTCCTCAATCTGTAAACCATATGGATTGCAATAGCAAAACATTTGATTTTTCTGGCCCAGTAGCAAAATATGGATATCATAATTCCTTAGCTGTACCAAGTCATTATTTACTCCATAAAAAAACGAAACTTGACAGACCTAAAAGTGAAAAGAAATTAGAATCATGTAAGTTAACAAAAGAGTTGCCATTAGCTGACCTAATTGATGATGTCACAAGAAATTCTTGTAAACATCAGCCATCGTTTAGATTATCATCCCCAGATAGTCTGGAAGGTCTTCTTTCCAAGAGTCTAGATGCTGAATTGTTAAGACCTGATGTATCTGAATGTGTTTCCAAAGATGATTCTGCTTTCAAAGAAATACCAGATTTAAAGTGTTTAATGATAAAGAACACAGCTCCTAATAATTCTTTGTTTATTCAGAATAAGTCAGGAACTGATTTGCAAAACATTCCAGTACAAGCCAACTTAGGAAGTTTAAATAATCCTTTGCACCTAGCTAGCTCCTTGGAAAATATGGCTCTTGATAATTTGAATGCTGGTAAAATGACTGAAGTTGGAGGTGTTTCATCAGTTGAACCGAGTGCCAAGAATTACATTTTAAAAAATGACAATTTGCAATTTTCCCAAAGTGAAAATCCATCCCTTGCTGAACTGTTTCAGGAACACAAAGAAAACGATCCAAGCCAACGCTTTACTTTATCTGATATTTGTAACCAGTCATCTGCAAGTCTCACAGATCTATGTTTGGGATCCTTTCCCCTGTCACAACTAGCAAATCGATCTAGCTCTTCAACTGGAATATCTGAATTAACAGGCTCTCTCTCATCTTTGGCATTTCATAAACCTTCTCCTACAAGAGACCTTGAGAATTTGTCACTTTCTGATTTGATTGCAGAAACTATTGATCTAGAAAACTCTCAAATTAAGAAAGATTCCCTTAAGCTTGGTTTATCTGAAATGAGTTCACCTGGAATAGATTCAAATATTGATCTTAGTGTCCTTATAAAAACCCCAGATTTTATTCCAAAACCTGTAGTAGACCAATCTGTTGCTCCAACACCAGGAACTAAAGTTCTAAGTTCAAAATCAGGGAAAAATTCCAGTTCTGCTAAGGATAATAAGAAAAACAATAAAGGCTCTCTGACTAGGAAACCACCTTTTTCTCTTTCTTGGACCAAGGCCCTTGCTGCTAGACCTTCAGCTTTTGCTTCAACACTATGTCTTCGCTACCCACTGAAAAGCTGCAAGCGACGCACCCTTGACCTCTATAAGACTTTTCTTTATAGTAGACAAGTTCAAGACATAAAGGACAAAGAAATAAGTCCTCTTATAACAATAACACCTTTTGACTTCAAATCAGCATCTCCTGATGACATTGTAAAAGCTAATCAGAAAAAAGCTTTCACTAGAGAATAGCAACAAAAGGAAAACTTGGTAATTGTTGTAGATCTTTTTATTTTACATTAAAGTCTCTATAGATTTACTTTATATTATGGAATTAAGTTGTGACTTTTATATTAAAATTGTCTTAAGTCAGTTGATAATTTTAGTTATGTATTTTTGCACTGAATTTTTAAAAATATATTTTAGTGATAACTGGCTTTATTTAAGTTGATAGTCTATAATTGTATATGTTTACAGAGCGTATATGGAAAATTGTGAAATCAAACCTCAGATATTTTTGTTTTAAGCAGTCAACTTTATAAGTTTTTACAATGAGGCATTTTCTTTTTGAAAATATTTTTGTGTTTTGTTCTTAAACAAAAATGCCATTACTTGAGATTATTGTACTATAGTAATGATGATTTTTCTTATGATATGTACCAGCATAACTAAGACATAATTATATTTTAAAATATTAGTGATATCAGTCCCAGTTTCATTATTTTTCTGTAGGTGAATACTAACATTTTTTACTAGAGACTCTTAAAATTAACAGCTTTTGTGAATACTTTAGAGTTTGTTGAAATACATTTTGATGACTAGAAAATGAAAATCCTTTAAGGGACCATGTAAATATTGAGGTTGGGTTAATAAATGAATTATTTTTATACATTTTCAAAACATTTGTCCTACATCCACACTTTGAAATAAATATAAAGTGTTTTTAAGTATGGTTGCATGTTTTTTGAATAGACAATTTTATCAGATCTCTTCATTTTTTTTTTATTATAAGTAATGTAATGTGAATTTTCCTCTTTGCTGCTCACAGCTGTGTGTGCTACAGTGACAAAGTTTCAGCAATAGCAGACCAAATAAGAGTTCATCTAATAAGTAGAACAAGTATATAATTCCTCTCTTAAAGCAGCGATCCTCAACTGGCAATCAGGATCACTGGGAGAATTTTTCCAAAGCATAGCTACTATGACTTTACTCTAAATGTGATGTGAATTAGTCTCTGAGGAATGGCATTTGGGAATGTGAATTTTCAAAGTAGTCCCCTGATGATTTTGATCTATTACTTTGACTTGAGGACCATTGCCTTAGAGAAAGAAATAAGTAGAATGAATGCTAACAACATCTGACCAACTTGATTTATAATTCATATTTTCTAATAAGGAATGACATGGAAAATTGCTAATTAAAAGTAATTTTTCTTTGCATAAACAGATACTATTTTTAGTATTTTCTGCCAAAAAATAGTATTAATGTTATTTCTTAATGAAAATGAAATAGCTGGCCTTTCCCAGTTAAATATTTTTCTCAGGCAGTTACTTTACTGTGCTTTGATAATGTATTTTGGTATTTTTTGTTTCTGTTTAAATTTTTAGAATGACATTTTATATTTTCATGTGCATGATATTTTTTGTATTCAGTGTTTTGATGGGAAAACTTAAGCCAGCATTATGTCTTCATTGTTCTTGACCAAACACTTTCTTGTGATGTCTTCAGGTTTTGTTTTTAATTACATATTTCAGTGCAATTAAATTCTGTGCATTCATACTAATGCTTAGGAGATAATATGAATCATAAGATATATTTTATTTTCCATTTTAATGTTTGAATTAACCCAGCTGCTGATTTTGCTTTTCTAATTTTGAACTTTAATCAAACATTGTAGTAATTTTGAGCTATGAGTATATAACTCATCAACTCGGTTTATATATTATGGGCAGTCTCCATCTTACAATTGAACTGTTTTCTAAGAGTTTATTTGGATCTTATGATAATACTTGATATACAACAGAGAATTCCAGAGTGGACAAATAGTCCATTTTGCACATGAATCTACAATTAGTTATTTAACCTGTATTGAAGTTGAACACCAGTACTATTGCTTTACCTTCTTTTGTAACAAACTAGTTTCCAAGTGGAAATATAATCTTTAAAAAAGCCATATTGTAGTTCTTGTAGTGTAAACTATATCTCCCTTTGTTTGGTGATTAAGATAATTACCGTTGGAGAGATTATTTCTTTGGGAGAAAAATTCTCTATTAGAGGGTGACATTGAACGCAAGTTTTTAAATTGTCCCCCTCTTTCACTTGTCATGGCTACTACTCTGTCAGGCTTGTACATGATAGGCACTTGCTATGTTGACTAAAGAAGTGTCATAGTCTATGACATTCAGAGGTTGCAAGAAGACATCCCTGCCCTTTCCACCCTTTGCCATTGGCCTTTGGTAAGAAGACAAGTGCCTGCTTCTTTGTGGCTCTGCTAGTGACAGAGATCATCACACTAAGTGCATATTGACTGACAACTGGTAGCACAAGGGTGTTAAGTATTTTTGGTTTAGTTTCCCAGTTCGAATAGCAATTTTAAGATGCCAAGTCTTTATTTTCATTATGAGCAAATGCATTAGTATTTTACTTAGGAATAGAAATAATCTTTTTAATTGCATACAGCATATAAAGGAAATGAACTACAAAAGACATTTAAAATAACTACTTTTTTACTCTTTACCTTTTTGCTTGTTGTCCTTTTGTGTTCTGCAGTCTTTGGGTGGCTTTTCTGATTATGGCGCTTAACGTTAATTGCCAAGAACCAGGGTTTCACTCTGTTTCAGCATTTTGCTTCTCTCTCTCTCTCTCTTTTTTTTAAAAAACCTTTTTGTATTTCCTAGTTATTAAACTTGCATTCTTACTTATTTTCCTTCTTTTGGCTTTGGATTTTTTCTTGAGCTTTATTTCACCCCTTATATAAGTAATAATGCTATTCCTAGTACATAATAATTTTTAGTGTTCAGTGGGAGGTCATGCAGGTGTCACACCAAGGATTAAACTGGGGCATTGCTTTTCTTTGTATGTAAAGGAGACACTGTTATGTTAAACACAGCTAAGAAAATAATTGTTTACCTTTTAAATTGATCTTGAATCTATATGTGGACCATTGCAAATAAACAAATACACAATTGTGTATTGAGGAATACTATCTTGCCAAGTTTTCTGTTCACATAGTATGTATTTAATTATAAAATTAGTTTGTGATAGGTTAGAAATTGTTTTCTGTTAAATAATAGAGCTTATATGAACAAAAATAGATTGACTGGACAAGGAAACTACGAATTTTATTACTAGTTTTCTTTTATCTGGATCCATATAATTATATAAGACTTGGTTTATGCAGTTGTATGTTGTTAAGTTTTCTTTGTAGGCTATAAAAGAATTGTCACATTTTAAGTATATCTGTATAGTTTTGTGAATGTTGCATTGAAATAAATTTTAGTTGTGAGGTTTTCTTAAGTGTGAAAGCATATGCAATTTATCCATTAGGTTTTTTTTTTAAAGATTTATTTATGCATACAAGTACTGGGGTACAGGCCAGAGGTGTGGGGCGGGGGTGAGGATTCACCAGAGACAAAGTGGGGAACAGAACAGGCAGATTGATTGAAATACACTACTGAGGGGAGCAGAGGGCGAGATAGGAGAGGTCTGCTGCGCCATGTGTAGTCCGTGTCTGGGGATCGAAGACGTGCTGCAGTGACTGTGGATAGCTTCATAGGTTGTTTCTTAACCCCTGGCTCCACCAGGAAAGCCCCCATTAGGATATTTTATAAGCTTTATTCTTCAGAATGGTGTTTTAATAATTTATGCTCAAGTTTCTGCTTTGTGTTTCTGTAAACAAATTAAAAAACAAGCTGCTGATTGTGAATAGTTCCCTCTTAGATACAATTCATACTTTCCAAAGCACAAAGTTTTAAATTTTTCTACTTTTTTAGGACTAACATAGAAATGCTATTAAAGTATAGCTTATGGTGAATTATGGTGATAGAATTGCAGAGATGGCAGTGGAAGGTAAAAGAGTTGACAATGTGTACATTTCTGATGTTGATATGCCTGGTATAGATTGTAAGACTCAAAGGAAAACATTTTATTTGTAGGAGATAAAGCAAGATGAGCCAAAGACAACATTCTTACCTTCAAAGGGGAGGGGAATATGGATATTTAAATGTTATTTATATTAGTGTTGTTTCTCATATTTATATTATTACTCATATTTATATTTATTAGTCTGGCATACATAACATTACCCTCTCCAAAGCTGACATCTTTGCCTTTCTGACTCAAACTGACACCTCCTCCTCTCATTCCTTTATTTATTAGTGGGATCACATTTAGTTGCATAACCCAGAAACTTAGCTAGCATCATCCTTGGTTTCTCTTCCTCATTTAGTTCTTAAGCTAATTACCAGCTCTATTATCTCTGGCTTTCAAATAGGTAAATATATGTGTGTGTATTACTGGTTGATTGCCGTTATTTGTGGTAGTTAGAGAATTTTCATTAATTAACATACACTGAATAAAATAAGCAAGCACTGACTTAGAGATACTGAACCGTTGCTCTTACAGACAATGTCGGCCTAGCTTCCTTTGAGTCTCTGGTCATAATATTTCTGTCAAACCCTCAGTACATAGTCTTGTTTTATCTATCTGTTTAAAGGCACTTTATTAACATATATTATTTATATGCTTTTGTTTCATTAACATTGAACTCCCAACCAAAAATACTAACTCATGCCGAATAGAGCTTATCTAACACATTTTTATTTGTAAGGAACATCACAGCAGCCTTGTGCTTAGGAACACTAAAGAGTGCACAGTCACCAACTAAAACCACAATGCAAAAAACATGGCACTGAATAGGTGATGAAAATGACACTTGTTTACAATATGGGAGCCAAAACAAGAGCACAAAATATCACCTTGTTGGACCTCATGTTGGGGGACTCACATTTTTTGCTGCTTTGCACTTGTCTGTCATGACATTTAATTGGTTTCTTTACTTTTTATTTCCCTTTGTACACTACAACCAGAGTAACTTTTCTAGTATTTAGTTCTAATTTACTATTCCTCATTCTGCAAAGCCCTTTCATTTGTTTTATAAGACATTTTATGAACTGGTTTCTGTTTGCATACCCTTTTACCCAAAGTCACCATACATCTTACCTGAGTATTCTCTGCTTATTATGTGTGTTTGCCCCATGCATCCCTTCTCCTTGTAGCTAATTGCTTTTCAGGTTGTAGATTACATATCATTTTACTCTCAGTTCTGGAGTTGGGGGTGCTTTATATGCATCCATAATTCACTCTTTCTTTTATTATCACCCCGTGTAAAATTATCATCTCTCCTTCACCCCCATCCCTTGGGATTTTATGTGTTCACTGCTATATTTCCAAGCTTAGAATGTCTGGCACATAAATATAGGAAACGATTTAAAGTACAAAATGAGTTTACTTTAAAGTAAAAATGAGTTTACTTTTTGTAGTCCCAAAAGTACGTTTGAAAGTTTTGATAGATAACTGCCTCATTGTCTTTAAAAGAGGCTTATCTATTTCTTTCCCATGAGTTTAGGAGTGTTTGTATCCCAAATTTTCATCGATATTGTTGTAACTCTTTTTGATATAATGCCAACCTGATAATTGGGAAGTCTTACTTTCATTTATATGTTTTTATGAGTGAGGCTGACTGCTTTGTAATATATTTATATCTATTTGTATTTCTTTTTCTTGAAATTGTCTATTCTTAATCTTTGCCCATTTTTTCTGCTGGTTATCTTTTATTATGACTTAGGAATATCTGTATGTGTATACATTTATATACATACATACATGCATACACACATATATTTACATATTAAATTAGTCCTCTTTCATATGCATGGGAAATAGTTTTTCTGATTCCTACTTGGTTATAAATTTTTAGAAGACAAATTTTCTTTTTTTAAAACACAAATTTTAATTTTAATATATTCAAATGGATCAGTGTTTTTTTTTTTAGGGATTTTTGTTTGAAAGTTATGCTACACTACAAGATAATTTTTAAAAATGCATTTCTTCTAATACATTTGACAAATTTGAATATTTTTACATTTGAATCTTTGTCCAGCTGCTACTACTTCTGTCTGTCTATCTTGGGACTCAGTACTGTTACATTTCATTGTCTTGCTTTATGCCAGGACCAAATTTTTAATTGCTATAGCAGTTTATGAAAGTATAAATTTATTACTATTAGCTTTTAATATTTTATAAGCTATCTTATTTTTCTCTCCCTTTTCATAATTTTTAAAAATTAACTAATGACTTTAGAAACAGCTTGTCAAGTTATTAGAAATTATCCAGTTTAAAGTTTATTCGGTAGTTTAATGTTATCAAAAATTCTGAATAAAATCATCCATTTTATTCAGGTTGAGATTGGCTTAGCATTATAGCAAACACTATTTACTACTCTTAGATTCTTTCATAGACCTCAGGCTTATAGCACCATTATTTTATTCTGTACATAAAATTTCCTTTGTCTTACAACAACCAGTTAATTTTGAATTGATTTCTCATGATAGGTCTCTATTTGTCTTGTTTGACTTTGACATCTGATTTGACCTCCTAACTTCCTCTCTCTCCAGAATAAGCATGTGTGGAATATTCCCCAAGTCCAACATTCGAAAATGATTCTGTGGCCTGTATTTGCTTAACAAATTGACAAAAAAGTAGTCTTGCATTCCACTTTGTTTCCTGAAGGGCTTTTAGATCATTTTAATTGATTCCTGTTCCATTGTCTGTCATTACGTGTTGCTAGACAGACTCTGATGCTTCTAATAGGACTTTCGTGTCTCTGGTAAATTTTTTTTCCTCCCTTCCTATTTCTTCTGATCTCTGCTGTCTTACTTTTCAACTTTCTTCCCTGTTGGTTTTATCTTTTTGTTTACCCTCTCTCCCTCTCCTTTTCCCTTATCCCCACCTCTCTGTTTTGGGAGAAAATAGGTTAGGAAAATCTTACTCTTTAACTGGATTTTTTTTTTTCCCTTCAGGTACTAGACTAGATTAAATATCCCCCTATCAACTGTAAAACTAAATTGATTTGAAAGACTTGTGAATTATTTATTTCCAAGTATGTGACATGGCAGACTTTGTTCCAAAGGTTTAAATATTTAGATATGATTTCCGCTGCCTATATCAACTTAACTTTATCACAACATATATACTGAAACAGTCTAGAAGGAAGTTTCTTACTTAGAGAATTTTTCAATATTTTTGTAATTTTAGAATTTTGGAATGAGGATAACTGGAAACTAGCCATTTATCATTGCAATAAATGAGAACTCTTAAAATCTAAAGCAATGTGTTAAATATTACTGTAGCTCCTTAATTTACAAAAATTTTAGTTCATTTTGTTATCATATATACTGTTAAAAGTCACCAATAACAAACACGAAAATCCTCAGAATGGTTAGGTGTAATTTCATACATTCATATGAATGGAATACCAAAAGAACATTTATTTAGGGAGGAAAATGGGGAGACAGTTTTTTGTTTTTGATAGTATTGTCTTTAAACCTACCAAAGTGGAAAATACTCCCAAAGTTATAAAGCTGAATACTCTTATTTTTTTCTCCATAAAACATCCAGAATAAAATATATAGTATTTTTGTATGAAAGGGAAAAAATCTTACTATGCATATTAATAATTTTATATTTGTGAAACTGGAAATTTTTTTGACACAATGGATATTGTGTAAAGTGAGATGTAACGATTTCTAATGAGGCTTTTTCTAACATTGAATTTGATTTTTTTTAGAAAAATAGTCTAAAAGAATAGTAAACTTGATCTGCAAATCTAAAAAGGAACCATGTATAAATTTAAATTTAACATTTTATAGTTTAAAATTGTTATTTCCATTGTCCCAAATAAAATTTTCATTTAGAAAATAAAGTCTGACTTTACATAATGAGGATGTAATCATTTTCTAGTGTTGTTTTACTAGCTTTATGTTAATAGCCTATTAAACTTCATATATCTGTATATTCTATTTAAATGCTATACAGTATTATTTATGACTATTCAAGTATTCTATTCTCTAGTGTTAATGGCAACTTGTTCTCTAGACAAAAGTATAAGAAATTTTATAAAGATAAAGCAGAACTGTAAAGACTTATAAAAAGATTTTTTCCCTCTATTTTATTGTGCTGTATTTGTCTATTCCGCAACATTACCTGAATGACTAAATGAGAGACACAGTTAGAGTTAGGGGGGAGATGCAGCCTTTTCTTTTTTCTCTCCCATCTCAGGTGAGATGTATTATGATACTTGACTATAAGTCCCTATAATTAATGTGAAAAGTCTATATTTCAAAGAAATTATTACTATCAGTTGTAGAACACTTCCTACGTTTAGTAATATGCTTTATATATATATATTTCATTTTACTTAAATCCTTTTTGTATAAAGTTTAAAAGATGTATTTAACTGTCATTTTTTATGTTCCCCCCCTTTATATTTTTCTTTTAAAAATATTTTTCACCAATTTATCTAGCACTGAATAATTTTATTTAAGCAATTAGATGAATTTTATACTTGCACAGAAAACTTAACAATTAATTGACTTTCTACTTTAAAATTATGTGGGTTTTTGAAAGGAAGTGGTTTATTTCAGTGAAAAAACTTTAGTGCAGAATGTTCTCAGATATGTCTTAAGATTCTCTTTTGTATATCCACCTACACTGGAAAAACTGAAACACTAATTGCTTAATTTAAAAATAATTTGCTTTAGACTCTCAAAACAGCTTATCTTTATGAATACCCAGTATCTCATATGAATTGCATGAATGTTAAATACAGTTTTCTTTTAACTCTGATTACCTTTTTAACCATACAAATTATGGTCAGATTACCTGTTTTTGTATGTCCTTTTTTGTTTCATTCCAAGCTAATTATAACTCCTTTTTATTAATTTGAGTATAAGGGATAAGGGATAGAACGAGGTATAAGGGATAGAATGAGGAATATAGCAAATAAAATTCATGCAGGCCATCTTTTATTCATTGCTTATTCATTTTTAGTCAGAAAAATACAAAGAATGGGTCACAAACTTTTCTCTAGAGCTTTCTAGTGACCCCACAAAGGCTAAGTCTGATGTAATAGAGTTGTCAAATATAGCGAAGTGCTTTCAATCTGAACATATTCTATATTTCTTTTTCTTGACTGGGTAAAGTGTCCTGTTCTGGGAGCTGCTATCTCTCAAGGGATGATGGGGAAGTGAATTTATACATTGAATGTAAGCTGTGTGTCAGACTGTGTTTTTTTTGGTTCACTAAAAAGATCTGTGAGGTAGATGGAAAATACTGAAGCTTATTTAAAATAATTTGCCTTATTTTACATGGCTATTTAGAGACAAATTGTAGCTCAAACTGAGTTCTCCAACACCCTTCTCCTTGTTATATATTTACTTGCAGCAAATTTTTTTTATTGTAATAATTAACTTTACTTGGTATTCCTTATTAAGTATCTTAAGAATAAAATTAATTTCCTTACTAAGGAAACAAGCATTATTGTTAGTTAGGTATTTAAATTTTACTTTCAACTGTTTTTTTCTGCTAATACTAAACTAAGAGACTTGGTATTCATGTATGAAGAATTGGCATCAATTTCTAAATCCTTGCAAAATTGGCCATTCTAAGGAATTAAGTCCTTTAATCTATTGAGTTTTAGGCAATTTGTGGTCTTCAGTTTCTTATATAAGCAACAGTTCTTTTTGATTTAAAATCCAGAAGAATTTAGTAAATACTATTTTTGTTGAGTAACACTGGAAAATTCAAATGAGCCAATGGAAGAGGAAAACATACCTAATTCCATTATTCAGAATTTAAAAAAAAAAAACTATTGCATTTTGAGGCATTTAAGAAATAAAAGGCCTGTAAATGAATACTTATTATATACAAAACACTGTACTGAACTTTATATCTGCTATCTCACTTAATATTCACAATAATCCAATGGAGAAGGGGTATTTTCATCCTAGCTTTACCGCTTGGAGGATAGAAAGGTCAATAATGAATACCTTGTGCTACAAAACTAGTGAAGAGTAGAGCCAACCTTCTGAATAAGATGCTTATAATACCAAAGCCATCCTCACTTTTGTACTTTGTATTTCTCCATGTGGGGAGAATTATTCCTTTTTATAAAAAATAGGGTCTTGTTCTACTTTTAAACCTATTTGAAATTTAATCATATGCTTCAAGCCTGTTAAACTTTTTATTTTTACTTTGTTAAATTTACTTTAAATTGTGGTAAAAGACACATAACATTCATCTTACTAATTTTTAAGCTTACGGGTCAGTAGTGTTAAGTGTATTCACATTGTTGTACAACCAGTTTGCAAAATTTTTTCATCTTGCAAAACTGAAACTCTATACTCATATAACTCCATTTTCCCCTCCCCCATCCCCTAGCACCCCCCTAGAAATTGTTTTATATGCAATAAATTTAGCTTTCAAATATCCTGTTACTTTAATTAACCTAACACCTATTATAGGAATTTGTTTCTTAATTTATTATTGCAAATAAAGCTTCAGTAAAAATAGTTTTGTATATTTTTTTAGTATTTTATAATAGATACAAAAAAGGTTATGGGACCTTTTTAAGACTTTTAGTACATATTGTGAAGTTAACCCTTTGAAGAGATTGTATTACAGTTGTTTT